TTGTGATAGGTTACCTGCCCAATGACGTCGAAAGAAACAAAGGGCTCGCAGTTATTTCTGTAAATGAATAGGCTTAGCCATTCAAGGCGGTAACGTTGCCAGACTCCAGGGTACCATGATTTCTTTAAATATAATAACGAACTCTTGACCATATTCTAAATCGAAGTTATAACTGACGATGGTATGATATGTTTCTAATAGAAAAAACCGGCAAGCAGTCCACTTTTCTGCGATGGTCAAGATTTGGAGGTCTTCATTTCACAAGAAAGTCGCTCCCAATGTGTCTTTTTGCTTTTCACTTCACCGATTCCTAGGCAGCTATGTGATATCGGACAGAGTCATCCAAAAGGCGGGATATACTGCATGCACAAGTGCAGTTGTGCTTGATAAAGTTTTAAAACGTATTCAGATGTGTTTGTCAGAAGAATTTCCAAATATTCACTATAGCCTGGAATCGCCCCAAATTTTAGTTTTCGGGTGGTGCATTTAATTCTTTTGTCGTACGTATTAAAAAGGAGGGATTAAAGTAAATCGGTGGTATGTCATTGACATAAGGACACCCTTATGTGGTTAGTCGGTCGAAGGAGGAATGTTGAGGGTGAAACTAAAATGTAAAGTTTCAACGTACGCTTTCCGAAATGTATCCAATAGATAACTGACAAGCAGTCCGCTTTTCTGCGATGGTCAAGATTTCGAAGTCTTGATTCCACAAGAAAGTCGCTGCCAACAAAAGTCTATTTGCTATTCACTTCACCGATTCCTAGGCAGCTATGTAATATCGGTCAGAGTCGTCCAAAAGGTGGGGTTATACTCTATGCACGAGCGCACTTGTGCTTGATAAAGTTTTAAAATATATTCTGATGTGAAGTATCTACCGCCTGGCATTGAAAAGGTTGCCTGTACTATTTATTAGCGGCCAAAGTCGACGTTGGATAGTAAGTCCAAACTATGCATCCCAAGTTGGTCACTTATGACGGATAGATATCGGACAGTCGGAGTAAAGTGAAATGTACTCCATTTTGCAACGTAAAGACTCGCCTTTCTTTTGGTGGCACTAAACCAGATCCTATTTGTGTCTTCCCATTAGGAAATCGCTTTCAGGTACAGGTTTGACTGTGCTTATCATTTATGAAGAATCTCTCACCTGTTGGCACGAGTATATGACGCGTATCTCTCCACCATTATGTTATCGTCAACTAAAAAAACCGGGCCTCGACAGCAGATTATTGACGTGCAGTAAGAATAGAGTTGCGGACAAGACACATCCCTGAGGTATAACGGTATTAATATCGTAAAGAGCATGCAACTACACGGATTGAGCAGTTCCTTAGAAAATAACCTATTTATAATTGGAAATGATACTATTCTTTTGGATCTAAATCGCATATATTTGTTTTTTCAGACAAACCGACGTTTCGGGTCTTTTACAGGACTGCGATGGTAAAATCATCCACCAGTTATGTCTAATATTAATGCAAATCATCCTATATTCACTACTGTTACACGAGTTATTAATTACATACCTTATTTTTTAAATTTTAATTTTTTTAATTCCAATTTACGCTACATATGTTTTACAGCTAACCTATCACAAACACGAATTTTCTTTTTCCGAAATAACGTTGGTTCGAATTTTCATTACACCGAAAACCGAATTATAACGAAATCGTTGTTCTTTCAGGATATGTTGGATGTTTATCGCAAAGACACGGTTAGGTTCAGTTAAGTTAGGTTAAGTGTTCGGTTAAATAGTTAAAACAAAAAACATTTTCCTCTCAAAATTACTTTCGAGGTTATGAAAATTCGAGCAAACGCTATTTTTGGAAAATGTCATTTCGGACTACTGATAGGTAACTGTTTTACAAAATTATTTTATTATAACAATATAATTTTATTAAATTGAAATTTATTATTTAGAAATAATGGTAATTAGAATCAATTAAAACATATTACTTAGTACTGCAGTTTTATGTCTGCTTGTGATTTTTCATCAAAGGAAATAGTGAATCCTAAACTAGTGGTACAGAGAAACCACCTTCTTTGTTCAAATTGGGATGATTTTTAATTTCAATGGCCTCTAGCAACTGGGTAGGTAACGGATTTTTTTTTAGTAAAGACCTGGGGTTTGTCGAACTTAATTGAGCGTGTAGGTTTATCCATGATATGCTTGCAGACTGCAGAATTATTTACGCGGCAGTGTTTGACGTGAGCTATATGTTCTTTGACGCGGGTACAAATGTTTCGCTTCGGTTGTCCGGTCTCCCTTATATTAGTTAGTAGAGGACCTTACGAAAGAGTTCGTCAATAGAAGTACTGCCACCTTACCTAATTCTGCCAGTAATGTAACCATTAGGTACTGCGTTCCAGTTGTGAAGCGTCAGAGTGCTGGTGAAATTACAAACACATGAGACTTGGCAAGTTATGTCTCAGGGTGACGGGAGCAGTACAGTACCCCTCAGATCTTTGCGATTTAAAGCTCTGAGCGGCACTGGAACACCAGGCGCAAGACTTGTTCGTCCCGTCAATGACTCACTATGATACCACAAAAAAGGTCTCCCAAATAATATTTCTATGAGTAATCTTATCGCAAAAACTATATACTCTTTGTTCTTCTTAAGTTATCGTGATTACTACATATAGGAAATGAAACTACTTTTTTGGATCTAAATTGCATATCGTCGGCTAAATCTCCATTAATGTGAACTTTTGAGTCGGCACAAAATACAGAGTTGCTAGAAACAATTATACAACGATCTATGATTGTACCTTTATTTTATAACTAAAAAGGGTCTACAAATTATATTTTAAGCTTTAATTGCCTGAAATTGCGCTTGAAGAGTAAAAAAGGATTGTTCCCTAAAAACGGAGTTACGAGGTTTTCAAATTTAGCTGACGGTAGGGTTAGGTAGTTTCTGTTTGTATTTGTATGTGTATATTCAATAATATTAGTACATGTCTGTGAGCATCTTTGTTAACAAGTTTATTTACGATTTATATATCCACATGAAACTATGCACAAGCGGTTAGTAGTTTTTCAGTTTCTTCACAATGTAGCGAATATTTTCAAAGAACAAGTTTACGTTTACTTGGTACGACTATGTTTCTTTTTTAGCAGTGTTAGTCTGGTTTTTAGTAGTCTATCCCACATCTTTACGAAGCAAAACATCGTGATGTAACCAACGTGTTCGAGAAGATATGGTATATGACTATTTGAAAAAGTGTGAAATATCCAACCCGCTTTCTTAAGAGTGTGGTGGCTTTAGCTTTAATTTTCCTTATTACGCAAAATACGTTTAGGTACACAAAGTATTAATAAACTATACACTGCTAGCGCTTTATATTAAAACTCCTCGCATTTTCGCCACAGGTGTAACTATGCATACTTTCCAGCAATATAGCTTTTTTATTAAGACTAATATTTTACGTCGCAGAGTGCCGCGCCCTACGTGAGCGGTTTATGTAAATGTTTAAGTAATGAAATATGGCTTTATTGCCGTTAAATTTCCTTCAGATGTAAGACAAAAAGAGTTCATCTTCTTTCATCACCGTTTGACGAATTCCTCTTTATTCGCATTACTTGCATTTACACGTAGTTATTTACAGTCGGTGCCCTCACTTAAGTATCCACTATTTGTATGGCACTTAGTACAAATAATGGATACATAAGTGAGGGTACCGATTGTACAAAGGTTAGTTAATGAATGTTATTGTACATTAATTACTTATAACAAAAACTACACCAAAAATAAAAAAAACGTTTACTACATTATTGTACATGCACAATAATATTATATTGCTTGAAATTTTAAATGGAATAAAGTACGACACTAGTAAACTCGAGGCAATAGCGCAAGAAATTGAAGTGCTACGATCGCTTATGCTACAAGCGAGTTACGTCGCTCCGAGACCAACAGCGACGAATCGCACGGGTCAGCGACGGCGCACGTAATATAACGTACTCTGTAGGTTCTGATTGGTGCTCGATTTATTTAGGTTTCCTCTCCTCCCTCGGAATATCTTCAAATCCGATCAAGAAATTGGCTCACAAATGTTATTCGAAGTAAACGTTTAGATTAGACGCGAGAAGACGATGATTAAAATGTTTTCGTAATTTATTCCTAGAAAAAAAATATTTGGAAAAAATTCAGGAAAAAAGAAAGAAAGAAAATATATTTGTGCACTGATCACAATGACACCAGAAAAGAAAAAAAAGAAAATGAAACAAAGGGGAAAAAAAAAATCATAACCAAATCATTAAACGTAAAACATAAATAATGACGAAACAAAAAACAAATAAAGCAGATATATATAAATTTGATTAAATTAAAACACGAACTATTCACAAAAATAATAAAAAGAACACTAGAGATACTTTGCGTGGGTCACAAACTCAGATTTGAATAAGATTACGAGTACATATTCGTGGTAAACCGCTGTTGTTATGCGACATGATAAACATACTTTTAAAAACTTTGGTCATAATTTACGAGAGCCTTTTATGGCACCCCAGGTCGATAGGTAACCTCGCAGTTCTAACTAGAAAATTATGGATTTTGCGTCATGAAATTTATTAGTTAGGGCTACTTTTTAAGACGGCCTCTAGTGGTCCATGATTTTATAGATTTTCTCGCACGGCCGACGACCATCGACAGTCACAAACCGGCCCCACCCATTTCATATCAATAAATAAATAACCTTTTTCGTTATGCGTTGATTCATGCACCGTTACGGATGCGTCTGTGTTACTACAGACGATTTTCTTTTCGCGAGCAAGTGTGAGTAAATGTGTAAAATCACGGAACGAGGAATTCGCTCTTATAACTATAAAGTATCGTATCTGTCAAAATAAAAACTCTGTAAACGTGTTGAGAGTTGAGACACGAGACATAAATGCCATTGTGAATTATGGCGTTTTGCATTTGACAACATGTGGTTTAGTTTTTTTTTAAAGCAGAGCTTGACACAATATGAATTTGGTACTAATAATAAGCGATACTTACATGATAAAGGTACAGATTGGTGTCGCATCCATTGTCCTTTTTCTTAGGCAACCCATGGTCATCGGTATCACCTGAAACAAAATAAAGGTCTCTTTAATCTGACAGCTATAAATGAGCTTATTTTTTCAACTTCTGAATTGAACCCTGTAAGGGAGTTACCAGACTGTCGACAAAGAATCCCATTAAGCCGGTTTGAAAAAGCTGTAAGTCTGTGTAATAAAAGAAAAAAAGACGTTGTGCGAGAGCGAGAGCAGTTGTCCAAGTGGAAGCGAAACATGTTACATCTTTTTCACAATACAAATCTATTTGAACTTATTTACATATAATTGTTCACCAAGTCACCACACGTGTAAATTGGTACAATTCATAATAAATCGTCTAACACAACCACGGTTTAAAGTGACAAATGATACAATTTGCTTTTATTGTTACTTGCAGAGAATATGTAAAGTTAACTTTAATTATTGATTAACCACAATATTGCTACTGAAATTCCTTTTTAGGAAAAGTAACTCATTCAAAACTAGAACACATAACTAAAAAGTTATGAACATACAAAGATTCAAATTTTACAAATCCGTTTTTCTCGAAACACGAATTTCTGAATTAGCGCACTTTAAATTTTCTTGTGCAAAATACACGCGTTTAGACTCAACTAACAAACTTAACCTCTCTGCTTGTTGTATACCGTGTATTGCACTACTTGACACTACCACATAACATTTTATTTTTTAATTACTTTCTTTAAAACAGTCCAAGTTCGTTACAGTTTAATCAGACTTCGAGAACCTTTGAACCAGTTGATTGTAATTTACCTTTATAGTTTCACCTTTGTTGAAAACAAGTTGTAAAGTGTTGTACTTAAATAGATGCTTTACGGTGTGAAAACGATAATAAAGTAGGGACTTTTCTGTACTTCAATACCGTTTCCGGTTTCCAGTTGACCTTTATCAAGCGAGGTACGTGTTTTGAATACTTCCAACTAGGTTCAGCAGTCATTTCCTTTTTGTAGGGTTCAATAGCTTTCAATATTTAGCTTAGAAAAGAGCAATTGAAATACCTAATTGAGTAAAATTTTATAAATTTTTTAATGGTTGTCATTTATACCTTGATACCGCACGGGCTATTGGCCAACCGAATATATTGCTTGTTAAATGATTTCTTGACATTTTCGTTTTTTTTTGTGTTTAATCAATCTAACAATTGTCGACCTTGGTTCTGGGCGATTGATAGCCCTAGGCGCGTCTCTAGATAGTTCCGAAATGTTAAAAATAAAAAATTATTCAAGTAAATTGTGCAACAGAAAAAACTAGATGAAGAAATCAGTCTAACGATTTTCGAAGTTCGATGTTAGCGCTTTTACTGACTTTACGCAAGTTAAGTAAACTAGCTTTTGTATTTACGAAGTTGTCGATAACTGCTGCCGATAATTAATTTTTACGCTCCACTCAACATGTCAAAACCAGTCTTGAGTGTTATTGAATGCTATCATGAATAACATAACTTCATAGTATAGGATGTAAATTGAGGATGTTCCAGTATGTATAGGATAATATTAACAATAAAAATACAATAATATGTGCCAGACAGTCACACCAATAGCCTGGTCTTAAACTAGGTAATTCCCCGTACTATAAGTACCAGAGCAACGTAATTCACTCTGGAGCACTTCCCAGAACACCCAGATCAGAACCAATTTTGAAAAGTTTGTTTCCCATATTGGTCCTGCCGGGAATCGAACCCGGGACCTCCGCATCCAGCGCCCACAATGTCACCGTGGTCGGTATAGGATACACTTCACCAACGTCGAAGAAATAATAGAAAGTAATATTGACCTCGGCATGAAATGTGACCAAACAGTAATGAGCATTACTGCGTTCCGATTTTGAGGGGCAAGGGTGCTGGTGAAACTTCTATCTTGAGAATGTGATATCTTGCGAATATGATGTTTTGCGAACATGATATTTTGCGAATATGATTCTTAACGACAGAGGGCATGAGGACTTGTTAGCTTATGGCTCAGGGTGACGGGCGTGTGGCAGTGCTCCTGAGATCTTTGCTATTTAAAGTTCTGTGTGGCAATGCAAATGCTATGGACGGGCGTGTCGCTTAGCACCAGGCGCACGAATCCGTCCCGGTTTTAGAACGAAGTTATCAATTGTGGTATTATAGAGTTGAATTTATAATAATAATAATATAATAGTGCCAGAAAAACCATCAATTACTTAGTCACATTGTGAAAATATTTGTGCCAAATTTTTTTTTAGTAGTATTAAGTGACGGGACGAATAAGTCCCGTATGACGTATACACCTGATTTGTATGTTATGTGTTCAATTAATAATTATTTTCATTTTAAATTTGCAAAAAAACAAATTGTCTCGTGTGACCCAAATGTAACGTGCCCGATATTTACTCCCCTCTTTTTCCATTAGATATATTTGCGCTGTGTATTTACAGAACATTATTTGCACTGGCTTGATGAACGAGTGGCAGCTGTCTCATCAATGAAAGCCTCAGCTAAACAATAGCCCCGCTTTTAGAAAAGAGGACGCAGCCGTTGTGGAGTTCCAATACGCCGAATTCCCCTTTCGCCGCGTACCTATTTCGTTATTCAAATTGCTTATTTGGTCGCTACTTGCTTAAAATGAAGAAGTGATCGCTAATTAAGATTTTAAACTGAAGTAATAGGTACATCTTCTTTTTAATTAAAATAATCAAATCTAATTAGTGGCGCTACGGAAAAAAAAATTTGCAACAAGCACATTGTGCATAGTTTCCCAAAGTGGTCCCTCCTAGGTAGGGGCCTCGGAAGCAATTGCGGGGCGTTGATGCTGCCCAGACCGCATTTAAAAATACATCTTGAATTATCTACACAAACTGCACTACAAATATATAATTATTTTTGTCCTTGTGATTTTTTGTGTTAAGTTAATATAAAAAATACGTGTTTTCAATTATTTTTTGTGATGGTGGGCGTTGAAATTTTTTTATCCTATCTAAGTGGACGGTGAGCTAAAAACTTTGGGAACCCATGATTTAGAGAATTTGGCTCCTTCTTATCGTATCGATGACAGACACTATAATGCTTGCCGTCGTGGTGAAAGGATTTGCCAATTGGTGTGAAATACTGGCTGATTGTTGCACAGGGTGCGCCAGAAGTACTGGAAAGGAATGGTACGTTGTACAGAGAGGTTCAAGAAATTCATAATGTCCGCTGACTCGTTTCGTAGGTCATTTGGGAGAGCCATAGCCCCGGTAGATTCAGATTCAGATTCATTTGTTTCGCAAATATAACATTACAGTATAAATTGCACTACATGTCGAAGTATAAGAAATTATATTGAGATCGTCAGACAAAAATGAAAATTGTAAGAAAATACACAATAAAGAGAAAATTAACAATTAATTATATAAAATTGTTGTCATTAAATTACATATCAAATATCATTCTCCATCAAGGATCGTCATAAGTTGATAACAATTATACAAGAGTATGTTAATGCGGTAAAAATTAGAATAAAAATAGAAAGTACTCAATTCATTACAATTGAAAGTCCTTAAATTCATTTACAGTGTATAAAAAATTTTTCAAGAAAAGGTCTTTCAGCCGGCGGCGCCTAAATGTTTCGTCAGATAGTTCAAGTCTGAGAGTAGCGGGTAAACGCTCATAGTAAGTAGGTCCGATGACATGCGGGTTTTTCTCCGTAAGTGCCGTGCGTCGGGGGATGTTCTCAAATGACCGGTACGGCGAAGTGGGATGCCAGAAACATGTACAGTACCAAATGCAGAAAGATTATTTCTAACGTACATTATAATTTCGTATAACTAGAGTGAGTAGTGCGTCATTACAGTGCGTTGCGCTACAAATAGATTTCTGCAGGAATGTCTGTGTTTTACCCCAACCAATACGCGTACGGCACGTTTTTGCATTAGCATGACTCTATTGGCATCCGTGGAGTTACCCCATATGAGTGAACCGTACGACATCAGCGAGTGGAAATGTGCAAAATAGACCTGTCTTAATGCAGAATCAGAAATAAGCAATTTCAGTTTACGCAACGCAAAGACTGCACCACTCAGCCTATCACACAGTCTGTCAACATGGCACTTCCAGTTAAGGTTCGAGTCCAGAGTGAAGCCAAGGAACCTACTCTCATTGCATATCGGCATCGGATTGCTTGCTACACACGGAGGAACTGTGAGACCTCGACCCGAGAAAACCATGATGTTGGATTTAGTGATATTCAGCAGCAACACATTCGATGAAAACCACCTCTGGAGCTGCTCACACCCTTCATCGATTCTCTCTCCCAGCTGTATCGGTATCCCGATCGAAGGATTTTTTTTGTTCTGTTCGATCTTTGTATTAATAATTATTATAACAACATAATGGAATAATTTCACAAAAATAATGGTAAGAAAACATCGTGAAATTTAATTATTTCTTAATTGTGAGCAAAATTTAAGATAGTTTGCATTGAAATAAAGTGTAATTTTATCTAAGTGTATTAAATTTGCCATAGTCTTGAAAGATTGCAAAATAAGTACACGTGTCATGTTTATTATTTATTCCAATATTAATAAACTTCCTTTGCAATGAAAAATACAAACACAATATATGTATTCTCACTATGCACTCGAATGGGAGCACAAATTATAAAATAACAAAAACATTGTGACGAAAAAGGAAGACGAGGGGCGGACCAGAGTGCCAAAATTGTTAGAACTTTCAGGCATTGTACATTGTCGAAGTTTTCCTTTTCTTTAAAGCACACCTTTTCCTTGATTTCATAACGTTTGTTTGGCATTCTAGATTGAATGATACAAGTATTTATATTACGTACTAACATTTACCGATATTTAAAAAACGTAGAAAGCAGAAGAAACAAAAGACTTCTCGATGCTACAATTAAATGGCATCGCAAAAGAAAAAAACAAACAATTAGAAAGTACAAAAAAAAAAAAAGAAAATACTTGACCAAAAAATTTCAAAGATAATCTGAAAATAAAATTCAAATGTAAGACAAAAATATTTACAGAACCAAAACTAAACAACAACACAAATTATT